TCGGCATACTCATGGGCACACACAGAGATGCACACGCAAGCTTGCCTACCAGTCCGTTATAGATACCGCATAACGTTTAAAAAAAGGAAAAAAGAAAAAGAATTTGCACTCCGCTTGTTTCTCTCACTCTCCCCGTTTCGCCCCATCACCTTTTCTCCCCCCACTCCACCCACACAACCACCAGCACCGACGCTCCCCCCATTTTCATCCATAGCGCCTAGGGTTGTCTTCTCGCTGCTGCTGCTGCTTGTCGTCACTCAGCTTCACTCTCACTTCTTCACGCAGACTGAATACCCCTTGGCACACAAATAAAAATGCGTGCATCATTCCTTCTTCGCAGTCGTTGCTGCTGCTGGTGGCGGCCGCTTCGGCGCCCTCACGTAGGAGTGGAAGAACATGACGGAGAAGAGGTACAGGTAGCTGAGGTACATCGCCACCCCCATCCGCGCACTCGACTTCGTCACGTGGCAGCCAGACGCGACACCCGCCGGCGGGACGTACACCTCGTACGCCGAGTACACCGTCACAATGGTGCCCACCACCATCTGGGCAATCTGCAGCATTGTGATGAGCGGGGCAAACTTACGCATTGTCTTCTTAAAGCCACACGCACACAGGGCGAAGTAGAGGTACATGATGAAATGCACCATCAGGTTCATGGCGGCGAAGATAATCATCGTGGTGATGTTCGCGCAGTAGGTGTGCCAGGAGAATATCATCACCGTAGTGTGGTGGTACCAGTGTAGGAACGGCGGCACCTTGCCCTGCAGCACCAGTAGCACCGTGTCGACCAGCTCCGGCACCTTCGACAGCACGAACATGCCGATCCAAAAGCCCACCGAGGAGGAATAAAACAGCTCGTCGTTCTGTTCGCACAGCGCCCGGTGCATGCCGAGTTTGTACGCGTTGCGGATGAGAGCCGGTACGACGACAATCATGCCAAAGAAGGAGAAAGCCGACAGGAGGAGGTTCCACACAATGATGGCATAGCGGAGGGCTGCCGAGTTGCTGATGCGGTTCGTGTCACCGTTGAGCCGCTTCACCACACCGGGCGCCTTCCACACAAAGGCGAGGTAGCCAAAGCTCAGGTAGCCGAGAATGTCTACATTGTCTATCATGTACTGCCGTACCGCATAGCCGTCGTAGTTCTCCACGTATGGAAACATGCCAGCCTTCTATTGCTGTTGCAGTTCTGCTGTGTCTTTCTGATAGACTTGAAATGCCTTGTGTTAAATCCTAAAGTGCGTGAGCCTGTCGCGTTTTGTGCAAATACGTGCGCACGTATGTATGTATGTATGTATGTGTGTTTGCGTGTCTATTTGCTCTTCTTGCACGATCTACACGAGGAAAACAAAAACCAACAACAGAGGACACAACAGAATTCATTTTGCGCAGAGAGCCTACATCACAGCTCTTACTGCTGCTCCTCATTCACACACTCCCTCTCTTTCCCACTGCGTATGTGTGTGCGCGTGAGAGCGAGAGAAGGGGGGCGCGTGGGGTAACAGAGAGCGAGAGAAAGTAGAGGAGACACGTCACGGTGATGCACCCAAGCGTTTAGCACCTAACATGAGGAGTGCGTGCGCCAGCGGACGAGTGAGGAGAGATGCAATGGAGACCACCACGAGCTGATTATATATATATATATATATAACCCAGTAGACCAAGTTTAATCAGGAAAGGCGTCTCTTGAAAGGCCAATGCTTCTCCTCACTCTCCCTCGCATTTAATACACACAGACTCTTGTGGATATGTAGGTACATATACACACAATCCTCATAATATTCACAGAAACAAAAAAAACCTCTTGCTTTCTTTTNGACTCTTGTGGATATGTAGGTACATATACACACAATCCTCATAATATTCACAGAAACAAAAAAAACCTCTTGCTTTCTTTTGTTGCCTAATATGCCACACCACGAGCCGAGATCCTCAACTTAACTTATTCTTATTTGTTCTTCGGACCCTCTTTTTTCCTCCTTTCGGTTCGCACTTCAGCTCCTCATCCCCGCTGCGCAGTTTCATTGCCCCATGATCGCTGTTTCAATTGTGAGTGTACGTGGGCTGCGTGTTGTTCGTGAAGCCACCCGCTGGCTGTGCGCTGATGCCTCGTTTTCTTTTCATAAAAGAGACACAAACGCACGCGTCTGCATCCACGCACGAGACAAAGGGGCACGACCGTAGCGCAAAGCGAGAAGAAAAAAAAAAAACGGAAACCAGTGCGCGCCATCATATATATATATATATATATATATATATA